GTTCCCCAAGATCGGCCGAGGCTTCCATGCAACTGAAACACAATTCAACTTCTCCCTCTCTAATCCTGCTTCTTTCACTCCCCTAAAGATATTGATCCCAAGAATACCCCTGCGCACAAATCTGTCTCAGAGTCTGCTGCCTGGGGAAATGACTTATGACACTTCCCCAAAGTCAAAAAGCTAATGAGAGAGCAAAATGGAATTTACTACAGATGTGCCAGCATAATTTCCACAATTATAAAATGAGCCAAAGAGAACAAATGAAAGAATGAACCGAAAGACTGAGACGGTAATAATACCCTGAAATATTCTCACCATTCACAATGCCTCATTTTTGAATTAGAACAAAAATGAAGAAGGATCGCTACTGAATTGAATTGGTAAAATAAGAGAGCATCCTTACATGGAGAGGACATGGGAAGGTGATGAAGAGGGTGAATTTCCTGGGATGCTTTGTATTTCACTTCACAAGCAGAGGTTAATTAGAACAAAAGGGGCTTTAAAGTCAGAACAGTTCCTGTCTTTTATTTTATTTTTTGTTTATTGTAGAGATGAGGTCGCACCATGTTGCCCAGGCTGGTCTCGAACCCGCAGGCTCAGGCAAACCTCTCACCTTGGCCTCCCAAAGGGCTGGCATTACAGGTTGAGCCACTGAGCCCCGCCTGCCTTTTATTTTATACAAGAGGATACTGCAACCCAAAGGGATACTTAGTGTCCCCGAGGGCACAAGGCAACAGCGTAGCCTGTTCTAGGCCTCTCAGTCCTTCGGCTTTGTCTTCAACATGTGATCTCAAAACATGTAAAGTGAAATTTCCATAAAAGATTCACCTATGTTCCAACATAAGGACAAAACGTATTAAAAAACGAAGTGCTTTTTACTGAATTTCCGAATTCCACACGAATGCTGCTCTTTCCACCCATCAATGTGGATCATTGGAGTTTGACAACATCATGAGTTTTTCACAAAATGGCTTTCCGTGGAAGGTTAGAACTCACTATCTATACTTCTAACTACATTAGCATTTAAAGTTCATCAAGTATTGTATCTTAATGGCCTTATCTCAAAATGAGAATAATAATTATTATCTCATTCGATAGGATACCATACAGAGTAAATATTTAATGGTAGCAATGCATCTGAATGCCACATAAACAAATATGGCAATACATACAGCAGCTCTGAGTAGGTTAACGTTACAATAGGCTAATATTACACCCGATTGATCAAAAACAACCTAAATAAGACACAGGAACATTTAGACATCTGTTTCCAACTAGGAGAGTAAGATTTAAACTGATAAATTTAAATAAGACATCCCAATTCAAATGAAAAAGGTCTTGAAATCCCTGTGGTAGGCAAGGAATTTAAGACCTTTGAGGAAAAACTAGGGTAATGGGATGAAACTTAAAAGCAAATCCATGATTTCCTTTCAAACATTTTATAATTATTAAAATAAAATAGGGTAAGCACAAGAAAGAAGAAACATCTCAAGGACACTTTACACATTTGAAATTGCTTCTAGCAGGTACTATAGCATTCATTTTAACGCACTATTCCTTGGCTGCTAGAAACACCCCCAAATCTCTGTCTTTTATTTCAATGAAGGAATCATAAATACAACTTGCTAAGAAGCATTACATTTTTCCCTTCTCATATTTAGTCCTTTATCCAAAGTGCTCAAAGGAACAAACTTGTTCTAAACATTTGAATTTTTTCAATGTTTTATTAAATGTTCCTGATCTTGCTCGGGAAGACTGAGGAGACACCATGCAAAAATCCCTCCCTAGAGCAAAGCTCAGCCCAGGGTTTCCCCTCATGCCAGAAATGTGCTTTGGGACTCCTTTACAAGCCGTTCACTCCCTGTATTCTAACAACCCAATACAGCGATACTAAGGCCCTTTGATTCTCCTATCAATTCCCAAGACTTGTTTGAAAATTCTGTTTCTACTCTGCCACAGCTCTTTCAATTCCCTCTTTTCCCTTACCCCTTTCCTCTTTTTCTAGGTGCAGTATTAACAATTTACAAATGAAATTGTAAAAGAAAGACACACAGAAGCAAATTCATGAATGCCAGACTACTGTGTAAAGATAAAATGTGGTTAGAAAAGTGATAACAGTGCTTGTCTAGATAAGTAGGATAATGAGGCATGAAGGAATCTACCCAGCAACCAGTCATTGGCTTGGATGGAACCAATCAGCAATTCATTAATTTGTGATGTTCCTACATTTGTATATGAATACTTATACTGAGCTATGGGAAAATCCCAAAGGAAATGGCATTTATCTTCACTTTCCTTGCAGGAAAATATAAAATACAAAATAATACTCTGGAGAAATTATACAAGACATATTGGAGTGAATCAGTGGTCTTCAAAATTGGTAACCCTCTTCAAATGGAATATTTCAAAAAGGATCTCAAGTCTTTTTAATAAATAGACAGCTAAAAGCACAAATAGCTTTAAGATCTAGGAGGTTGAACAGAATTTATTTCTGAATGTTAAATTTGCCAATGAAGTCCTTCCCTAAAACTGCGAGGGTAGAAATTTTCTCTCTTCAAGGAAAAAACCAAGGACGTAAGATTTCTGATTTCTTAAAGTTTGTTCCTGTATTTTTAAAAAATGGATGATGATGAATACCAAATAGTTAACATAAAGACTCTGCTGAATATATTAAAAAGAACAAGTTTTATTTTTAGACATCAATATTCACAATACTGATAACTGAAAATAATCGAGATTATATCTTTTCCAAATGTTTAGACTTTAAACGTTTTAGCTGTCACAATAGAAATGTTCAAAGAATTAGACATTTCTTGACACTCATTAGAAAGACAGCAAGAAAAAAAACGGAAAGCCACGAGACTAAATCTTATCAAAGCTGCATTAACCTCGAAAACTCTAGTGCCAAGCTTCTAACTAGGGAACGGCTAGACACAGGTAAGGTCATGGCTGTCTCAAGTGACACAAATAGGTGGGCCTAATCAGTGAGCCCTTTGCAGAGACAGTGAGATATAAGGAGGGTTTTGCAAATGAAAAGTAGGGAACCTGGAGACCTGAGAAAAGATGGGCAGGTGACAGTCATGAGGTAGGGGCCAGCAATATGTAGTCCTTCGCAGGAGAGGGAGTGGGCTAAGATGGAGACGGAAAGAGGCATGGGGTTCCAAGCCACAAGAAGCTGGAGCTCAAGTCCAGGATGTACCACTTTTCGGCTACGCCTCTTTGAGAAAATCTTCAGTCGATTTTGAAGATCAAGGGAGAGGACAGACAAGGAAACAAATGTTTTTGAAGTTATACCGTTACAGCACATATTAGTCACCAAGCCCTTTCCGATTGGAGCCACTGAAGAGTTTGCATTATGGTCACAAGCATGAGCTCTGGAGCCACAGACTAGATTGAGACAGAACTGCCATTTTCTCGAGGGAAGGTCTTGGCCAGGCTAACTCAACCTCTTGGCATACCACTAGCTTTAGGGGTAAAATGTAGATAATAGAGGTACTCACTTTATAGTTATTGTGAGGATGAAATGAGTTAATGCTTGTCGAGAACTTAAAAATAGTGCTCAAAACAGTTGCCTTATTATTGTTGGTGGTATTGTTATTACTACTCTCTAGTTCTCAAGGTCAAATAGAGATCAAGAGATTATCACTAATAAGTCTATGCTGAATTAAGAGTCTTAAAAATAAAAAGGTACAGAAGGGGCAGCTAAGTCTGTTGAAGGGTTTTCATCATAAAGCCATGAACACGGCTTCTTGGTTTTACAGCAAAAGTATGTGAAAACGGTCTGGTGTAGTTTCTTGCTATCCTAAGTAACGTAGGTCTTTTTCCCCTGCTTAAAGGCCAAAAACCCAAAAGAATACAGAACATTTTGTTCCACAAAGAATATCTTGTGATGTATTCAGTATAATTATCTCTGGTCCTTAAGATAATAATACTTTTGCAATATGGTAGGAACACTTTGGCCTTACCGAAAGAAGTGTCAACATTTAAGTACCAAGAGACCTTAATACAAAATATTCTTACCCATTATTCACATAGCAAGCATAAAACCAAAGGCAGCAGTAGGACCAAGCCCTTGGAGCTCTAATTGTTGTAGCCTATAATTGTTTAAAAACCATCACTGCAATAATTTAAAATTACAGAAATAATCATTCATCATCATTCATGCTCTTTCCAATAAATACATACATATACACACAAATATAGTGTATGTGTGTGTATATATCTATATCTATATCACACATACACTTGATAGATACACACACACACACACACACACACACACACACACACCTTTTTCGAAAGAAAATCTTAGTGGTCTACCCCATGCCTGACTTACTTTTTAAACCACATTCAGGACAGACTGTATAGTTTTACAGAAATTACTTTAGAACTTAGAAGTTTTATTTTTTTATTCTTGAGTTGGAGTCTCACTCTGTTGCCCAGACTGGAGTACAGTGGCACACTCCTGGCCACCGCAGCCTTGACCTGCTGGGCTCCGGTGATCCTTCCGTCTCAGCCTTCCAAGTACTGGGAACTATAGGCGTGCACCACCACGCCTGGCTAATTGTTGATTTATTGTAGAGACGAGGTCTTGCCAAGTTGCCCGGGCGGGTCTCGAACCCACGGGTTCAGGCAATCCACTCACCTCGGCCTCCCAAAATGCTAGGATTACAGGCTGAGCCACCGAGCCTGGCCAGAACTTAGAAGTTTTAACTTGTAGCTGGCTTTCATAAATTCTGGCTAGAATTCTGACCAAAAATACAAAGCTTAAAATGTGTTATTTTTTAAAAAGCACTTAAAAGACCTATTTTAACTTTTAAAATGAAGCTCAGGTAACAATAATTAAAGGGAAATGTACCAAATAGGCTGTGCTACTCGCCAACTTCATGGAAGCATTCTGGATGAGCTAAAATTCAGGTTGCATTCAGCATTCTGAGATTTGGCTGACAAACTACATGTATTAAGAAGCAACAGATCAGCATTAGAAATTGCAAACTTACAAGTATGTCTGGCCAGTGAGTAGTTGGATCCACCGCTAGTCAAGCCAAATCCCTCAGGAATTTGACTAGAGCTTCGAGGTCTGGTCAATAGTTTAGGAGGTTCAATTTCGGCACCAAATTCAGCTCCGATCACTCCAAGTAAAACAATAGCAGTAGCTTGCTTCCGTCTTTCCTCATAAGACGTGGAAATTTTTTTCATCTGCGGAACACTTGATAAGCAACCTGAAAACCAAACATAGGAATCTCAATTTAAAATGTATCAATGTAAGGAAGACGAATGATTAGAAAAACATTCAAGACTGTGCATTCAGGAAAGAACGGTATTTTCAACACATGACAAAAGGGCAACAGGCTATTCAGACGCAAAAGAAAAATTTAAACCCCAACATCTAACCATATCAAAAAAAATCAACTCAAAATTGATCCCAGGCCAGGCTCAGTGGCTGAGCCTGTTATCCCAGCACTTTGGGAGGCCAGGGCGAGTGGACTGCCTGAGCTCATGGGTTCGAGACCAGCCCGGGCAACTTGGCAAGACCTCGTCTCCACGATAAATCAAAAATTAGCTGGGCGTGGTAGCACGCACCTGTAGTTCCAGCTACCTGGAAGGTGGAGGCGGAAGGATCGCCAGAGCCCAGCAGGTTGATGCTGGGGTGGCCATGAGTGTGCCACTGCCCTCCAGCCTGGGTGACAGAGTGAGATGCCAACTCAAAAAAAAAAAAAAAAAAATTGATCACAGTCCTAAATATAAAAGCTAAAACTAAAGAACTCACAGAAAACAATGCGAGTGTGTATCTTTGCAACTTTGAGTCACATCATGAATTCTTAGATATGATACCAAAACATAATTAATTTTGTAAACAAATTTAAATAGTACTTCACCAATATTAAAAAATGGTTTTGCTTGAAAAGAAAGACCCAAGAAAGTAAAAATACAATCCAAAGACTCAGAGAAACTATTGTCAAATTACATATCTACTAGGGACTACTTCTAGAATATATATAAAACTCTTATAACTCAATAATAAGAAAAACTTGAATAGATATTTCCCCTCAGATATATGAATGGCAAATAAAAACATAAAAGATGCTAAACATCATTAGTCATTAGGAAAAAGCGAATTAAAACTACAATAAGGTACTTCTACATCCATTAGAATCACTCTGCAATTAAAAAAAAAGGCTATAACAAGTGTTGTCAAGGATGCACAAAAATTAAAACCCTCATGCACTGCAGATGCTAATGACTAAAATAGTTTGGCAGTTCCTCAAAAAGTTAAACACAGAGTTGTCACATGGACTAGCGATTCCATTCCTAGGTATCTACCCAAGAGAAATTAAGCAAATATACACACAAAGACTTGTACATAAATATTCACAGCAACATTATTCAAATTAGCCTTGGAAACCACTTGAATGCCATTAACTGATGAAGAGATAAACAAAATGTGGCATATCCATTCAACGGATTATTCAATAGCAATAAAAAGGAACGAAGTACTGACACATGCCACAACATAGATAACCATGCAAACATGGTCCTAAGCCAGTCACAAAGGACCACATACTGTATGATTCCATTTATGTGAAATATTCAGAACAGGCAAATTCATAATGTCATAAAGTAGATTAGTGGTTGGCAGGCATGGAGGTGAAATGGATCACGCTGACTAATGAGTACTAGTTTTGGGGGGAATGAAAATGTTCTAAAATTCAGTGGAGATGATATCTGCACAACTCCAAATATACTAAGAATAATTGAATTCTACATTTTAGAAGGATTAGATGTTATAGAACATAGATCATATCTCCATAAATCTGTTTCATAAAAAGATTGCTCATTAATTGTTTTAGCTTGCCCATTAATTTAGCTTTAATTTTTTTACTTTAAAGATGTGTGGTAAAATTCAGGATTAGGTAAACAAGTGGTCATCGTACAGGTAACGTTTGGGCTTCCCGTTGGTCCCCACTTTGCCTGGTTTGAGATCAGTACCCTATTAATGTTATGTGCCCGCCTCCCCCCGCCCCCCCAGCTGTTTCCGGCTACTACCAATCTCTTTCTTATAGTATTATGGTAAATGTTCAGGGTCCACTTTTGACTGTGAACATGTGGCATTCTGCTCATTTCTGTGATAGATCACTGAGTATGATAGACTCTAAATCCAACCAAGTTGCTGCGAAGTCCATATGTTTGTCCTTCTTTTTGTAGTTTGCCCATCAATTTAACAAATATTTACTAAGCATCTACTTTGGGCCAGGAAATTATGAACATGAAAATAAATAGCACAGGTTCTCAAGAATCTCATGAGTGCCTGAAAAAAAGGTGGGCATGCTAGATTTAAGATTCAAAGAATAAGGAGGAGTTTTCCAGGGCAATAAGAGGACGAGAAAGGTGATTATTCCATCCAGATGGACCAGAAGACACAAAAGCAACCAGATGAAGAAATATTTGTAACCTGAGCAAAGCTCAGCATAGTTTCATATTCAGGAGAAAAATCAGTGTGACATCTAAAAAATAATGAAAAACAATTTTAAATCTTTATTAGAGTATCAATAAGTAGGGAATAATAAGGATTTAACATTCCCAACACATAACATTCTTCTTAAAATTTCCATTCTCAGCTAGGCTCAGTGGCTCAGCCTGTAATCCCGCGCTTTGGGAGGCCGAGGTGAGTGAATTGCCTGAGCCCGCGGGTTCGAGACCCGCCTGGGCATTTGGCGAGACCTCATCTCTACAATAAATCAAAAACTAGCCGGGCGTGGTAACGCGCGCCTGTAATTCCGGCTACTGGGAAGGCTGAGGCGGAAGGATCGCCGGAGCCCAGCAGGTCGAGGCTGCGGTGGCCGGGAACAGCCACTGCACTCCAGCCTGGGCGACAGAGTGAGACTCCGACTCAAAAAAAAAAAAACAATTTCCATTCTCAATCTTTCTCTTACTACGGTAACTACACCTAAATCATTCTCCCAAAATTCTCCTGACTTGGCCCTTTGCTGAGTCCTATCCTCTTTTTAGTTCTAGTCCATTCTAAAAGTAGTCTACCCTTTATTTTTTGCTTGATGTTTACTATGCAATATTATAAGCATTCATAGAATTATCCAGAAGTATATAAAGAATATCCTGACATACACAGGCACAACTAATCAACTTTACAAAATCTTGCTGTTTTTCCATAGGAGCTTCAGATTTGTAAAAAAGTAATTAACTGATGTAGATAAAACTAATAATGTAGACAAGGAAATGTGTCTTGGCCTCACTGTCCTAGAGATCGCCACATTTCCAACATTATCAAATTTATCTATTATATAATCATGTCAATGTTACCTGAAGTATTATATTAATGTACATTTTGGCCTTGAACTATGCTTGCATATCCAGGGGAAACCCTGGATGAATGAACAGATGTTAACAGATAGGTAGACAGACAGATAAACAGACAGACGCTGAACTAAATTTGCTAATAGGGTTTTCTACAACTATGCCCACAAGTGAGATTGGTCTATGATTTTCTTTTTCTACATTATACTTGTTGATTTAATATCAACCTAAGACAAGTGTCACAATATCCCTGTGCCCCAAACTCCCATTCTTTGAAGACAGTTTGAAGAAGATTCTTGACGTTTGAGGAAAATTCTCCTCTAAAACTATCAGTCTTCACCTCGGGACAGTCCTCACCTAGGGTCAGCAGGTGAGGGATGGTGGCAGAAGCAGCCGGATGGATGAAGGAACATTTATTACAAATTCATTTTTTTAATAGTTCCTTATTTTGACTTTCTCCTTCTTGACTCATTTCTGGCAGCTTACAGTTTTAAAAGAATGATCTATTTCATCTAACTTTTCAAATTTCTTGGTATGAAGTTATTTACACTATTCTCTATGATGGAAAAAATCTCAATGGTATCAGCTGCTATGTATCTTTTTTTTTTCTTTTTTTGAGTTGGAGTCTCACTCTGTCGCCCAGACTGGAGTGCAGTGGCTGCTCCCGGCCACTGCAGGCTCGACCCGCTCGGCTCCGGCGACCCTTCCGCCTCAGCCTTCTAAGTAGCTGGAACCACAGGCACGCGCTACCACGCCCGGTTGATTTTTTGATTTATTGTGGAGATGAGGTTTCGCCAAGTTGCCCAGGCGGGTCACGAACCCGCGGGCTCAGGCAATCCACTCACCTCGGCCTCCCAAGGCCCGGGATTACAGGCTGAGCCACCGAGCCCGGCTTGCTATGTATCTCTTAAACATTGTGTATCTGTGCCTTCTTCAATATTATTTTTTGTGCCTTTCTTAAAGTTCTGCTTAAAATATATATTTTATCAGATTATTATTTTTAAATACTTTGATTTTGATCTTATTGCGTTGCTTTCTATTTCGGTAATTTCTGCTCTTATTTTCATTATTTCTCCTTCTACTTTCTTTTGGTTTTCACTTTCTTTTCTCTTTGTTTTGTTTCTCAGTTCTTAGGTCAAACAGAACTCAATATATGTTCACTATTTCCTATTATGATTAACATTACCAGTCACATACTTAATATGCATTTTCCTCTTCTCCTTCACTAACACATCTCCCCATTTTTTTCCAAGTAGCAATGTACTTAGATCCTTGCAACGTCCTTTCAGACACCAAGAAAGTCATAGCCTAGCTTCTGGAATTCAATTTTATTCATGACATATTTTACATCCCCCTCAGCTCATAGGAGCAAAAAGGCTGCTTCTGGAAAGCAGCTACTTGTTTCAGCCCAGATCACTACATTTCTATTTCATTACTGGCTCACAGAGATATCTTTCATAAGCCCAGTTATGTCTCTTTAGTTTTCTATTTATACATTAATCATCATAGCTATATATTTGGCACAGAGGGATTAAAAAAGTAAACTCCTGGAGCTATCTTGATTGGAGGTCAGCCTTCTGCTCTTTCTGATCACTGGCAGTCCTTTGCTCTATATGCTGATTAGATCAATACAAAAAGGGCATTCGGAGAAATTAGCAGTAATACCTTCTGAATACTTTTTAGTATTTTGTTTTATTTTGTCTGTTTGGTTTTTCGCTTTGTCATTCTCTATCGCCGGAGGGGTAAGGCAAACTAGAGGTTCCAAAGCATGAAAGGCCTTGCATGGCAAGCCGAAGGCTTTTCATCTTTGGTTAATGGGAAGCCGTTGAACAATTTTGTATAAGGTGATGACATTAGACTCATTCATTAGAAAGATCATGACAGTGGCAGTAAGGGGGATGGATTGTGA